GKTTTTTTWAWTWAAAAAATATTGTTGTAAARGTTCATTTAACAATATCCGTTGAATCAATTAATCTAATGATTGATAGATATCATTTTCTCCTGAACCTCACTATATATGTATATATGTGTGTGCGTGCGCAAATGTGTGTAGACGTACATAATGTATATCTTTTTGAAAGAATATATATTGTATATTAAAATTAAACTGAAAGTATAATAATTAACATATATTAAAATTTAATAATTAATTAATTTAATAAACTCAAAGCATAAAAAAATTAATATTTTTTTATTTTATTTTGTATACTTAATTACAGATTTAGTCCCTGTGGTTTGTGTGGTTTTCACGAAATTGGTCCCTCGAGTAAAGACAAAAAAAAAATGAAAAGGACGAAAATGCCCTCAAGGTTAACGGGGGAATTGGATGGTCGTTAGAGGAAGGATCAATTCGTTACAAAACGACATACGATGAGTCCTAATCTGTAATAAATGAAGTTTATGGACCATTTTTTATAAAAATCACCAAACTACAAGGACCAAATCCATAATTTACTCTATATATTATTATGTATACCTGTTGGAAAGGTTAAGGTAGTCTTCAGTTTCCTTGGTACAAAGACTTTAGAATCCACATGGATACCCTTTTCATCTTTGAAATTCAAATGTATCTATCTTCTTTCTTTCTATTCACTTTTTTTGGCATGAAAGTAGTATTGAAATAGCATTTACAGCGAGTATTTAGAGTACTTCTCCACATGACTGATTCACATATCTCGACATGTTACAAACCGTAATTGAGATAATGAAAACTCAAGAAGTTGTCACATGGACCTCAAGAAAATCATGAATTTCTGTATGCTTCTTAGTTGCTTGAGGAAGTACATATAAATCTGTAGGGCAACTATCACCTCAGTGCATAAGTTTTTAATCAATTCATCTTCGCTTCGACAATCTTGTAGAAGATCTTTGTTACAATGCACGAGGCTAGTTCATCAGCCAAAAGCAGTAATGATGTGTGTATGTGACAACCATTCTAGTACAATTTYTTCATTAGTTGATAAGAGAAACTCTTCCTCTGTATTTTGTGGGCAGGTAGAATTTGTTGGGGGCGCCATGTGTTGGAACACACGCATATTCTCTGCTGTTGCTGGTATGGAAGTAGTAGTTTAGCAAGTGTATCCTGTGCACTTTGTTACCATTATGACTCSGGYAATTTTYATTAAGCRAGTGTCTTCTTATGTACTTCAGGTGGAGGTGCATTCTGTAATGGACAAAAGATTCATGTTAGTCAGACTGACAAGGTGAGGTCTAATTTCCTTCTTAACTTCATTTGTCAAGTAGAGTTCATGGCTTTATATGTAGATTTATAGCATTCCAATGTTGCTGCCATGGCATCAGTAAGTTATTAATATGTGAGCTAATTTGAGTGCTATTATCACTAGTATCTCTCTTGTTTTGTTTATTTTGTTAATGAACCTTCATCACTCATGTATAGTTTTATGTTTTTGAGCAAAAAGTTTGTGGTTTATGGATCGTTCTGTAACTAGTGGTGATAATTGCCTTAACTGCTTGTTACAACTTTATAGGTTGAGCGATCTCTATTGGTGACTGGGTTTGGCTATGAACATGACGATCCATGGGCTACCAACATGAACTTATTCAAAGAATTTACAGACATCAGTCGGGTAACAACATTAACTATAACATTTTATTTGAGTACCTTCCTTCTTGTGGTTTATCATAATAAGGGCTGAGTTCTATTCTCTTTCTGTGTGATTTTCTTAGGGTGTGCGAAGACTAGGTGCAGCTGCTGTGGATATGTGCCATGTTGCTCTTGGTATCGTAGAAGCATATTGGGAATATCGTCTAAAACCATGGGATATGGCTGCTGGTGTTTTGGTAATGCTACTTATCCTCGAGATATGCTTTAAAAAATCATCCCTATGCAGTGTTATCTAAATAAGTTAAAATTTAACCATCAAATATTCATCTTTCTTGCTGGTACTCAATGCAAGCCCTGGTTTTACAATCATCCTCCTTACCCAAAGTATCTGCATTCTAGTTCATGACAAAAGCAGCTTTTGTCTGTTAGCAATAGAAAATGTAAACGTTACTGGAGCTGCTATCTTAGGTTTGCTTCTATGACACTAAACTCAACCCCAAATCTTTTAGCCGTTGTGACAATGAGTATTGCGTGTGAGGTAGTCATCTTGAATTTACACAATGGCATCACTCAAACAGCTTATGATATCATATCAGATTGCTAAGTTGCTTCATATGGCAGTTTATTGCAAGTGGATATTATAGTTATAAATATAGTGAAGGCTTGAAGCAGTTATTTCAGTACTTGCAATTTGAGTGATTTCAGTTGTTTCTCTTCTTGATGGAGAGGAAAAAAAACATTCATGAAGCTATGAGGTATGAAGTGATAGCTTAATTTAATGATGGATGTGGGTCCATGCTCTTGAAAAATGTTGTGGGATTTGTATTTATCTTTGTACCGGATGATGAAAAAGGAACATATGGAAAAGGATGATTTGAAGAATTATAGCTATTAGATCTTCACATTAAGTAATAATTCACTATGTTAATGCCGAAATGACATTCTTATTCATATAATTGGTGAACTGACATATTGGTTACATTTTCTTAAAAGTATGAAACTCTTGTTACGTTACATTCTTTAATTTTCTGGTCCTCTAAGTGCCTATGTTCTCTCTCCCTCCCCTTTCCCTCTGTTCTCTATGTTTTTCGTCCTTTGTTTGCGCTTGGTTAGGTCCATCATGGAGAAATCAATTACTTCCCCTCAGTTATTAAGGGTAAAATTGTCATTTAGTTAATCAAGAAGTGTAATAATTACACATTTCTAAAACTTTGTCCCTTCTTTATTATGGACATTGATTTTGGAATGGAGGGAAGTAATTGATTTCTCCATGATGGACCTAACCAAGCACAAATAGAGGAGGAAAATCATAGAGAACAGAGGGGAAGGGGAAGGGTAAGGGGAGGGAGAGAAGAACTTAGGCATGCATTTAGAGGACCAGAAAATTAAAGAAATGCGTCAAGGGAGATCAATTTTTACCGTCTTTAAACTTGCTCTAACAATAGAGCCACTTTTGATTCTGGAATGT